TCTACAATCCATCTTTGAATGTCAATCTCCGAGTTGTAGATCTCAGCGGCTATAACTTTCGGTACTTATATTTTATGAAAGTAACACCTAAATGGATTCAAGAAGAGATTTGTAGAAGGATTTAGATTAAATAAGCGGATTCGAAACTAGACTCATATTTTGATAAAATGCTATCAACCCCCCGACCAAATCCTTCTGCAAGCGTGTCTCCTGTCTATAAAGAAATTTAAGCGGATTGAACAGATCAAATCAATAAGGAATTAAACCTGTTCAAACCTGAAATCACTTGGGTGGTGTTTCATATTTTATATATTCAGTATGTAGCAAAACAATACGTCATTGACACCTATCCTGCAATGAATGGAAATGTCTTGAAAATTCACTCCTCTGAGAACCTCATTCACAGAGACTATTTTTTGAACAGTGCCACCCCCCTCTTTCTATTCAGTTGGAGTGAAAAGCAGCCTTATGCCAGGCCCTAGCTGTCCGCCTCGCCGCCTGCCTCCACCGCAGTAGACAAAACAAGCTGGAGGCAGGATTTGTTTAGACAGAGCTCACCTGGCGCACACAGACACAGAAACAGTGATCAGGCGAGCCCTGGGGAGGAGTAGAGGCAGCAAGGAGGTGTTTGGGGGGGAAAAAAGGCTGGGGAGCTGATGAGCGTGTGAGGTGGGGGAAGGGAAGGGGCTGAGAGAGGAGAGCATGGGGTTCAGTGTGCTACCCTTATCCTGGGCCACTCGAAAATCAGAGCAGATTAAGATTTGAGGGGCCTTGAGTAGCACTAAGTAATAGGTGGAGGGGTGTGTTTGTGTGTATGCGTGGGGGTAGGCGGTTAGGGGTAGGCGGTTAGGGGTAGCCTAATCCAGGACTTGCCCATGGGGTAATAGTGTAGGTGGATTTGTGTGTCAGTGTGTGTGTTGCCTGCAGGGTCAACCAGCTTAGAGCACTTGCCCATAGGGATGCAATCAGCTGATCTGTCACCAAGGAAGGATCAAGCTCTGCACTCTTTTTACATTACATTTACAAGCTAACAAGGCTAATAAACATATTTCATTGATACATTTTTGGGGCTACAATTAACAAGTATTTTATTATTGATTAATCTGATGACTATTATCTGACCTGATCTGATAATGATTATTTATTGGTTACTTTTGGTCTATAAAAAAGGTCAGAAATTACATTTGAGAACCCAAAAGTATCAAATGTTTGCGATTTACCAGTATGCTTAATAAATTACTTAGACAATTATTTTGTCATAAAAATAGCTGCTGATTGATTTTCTGTTGAGGACTACTCGATTAATTGACTAATTGTTTTATTGTTTCAATACTCATTCTACATATAAATTCAGAGAACTACAGCCTCCTTATGTTTCCAGCTTGAGTTTTCCTGGAACATAAATATGGCTGTAAAGTATTTGTGTCAAACGTCAAAACACTGAACACAGAAACAGAAACCACATTTAAACATCAAACAACTGTTTCCTCAGTGCCTTTTCACTGTAGAATAAAGAAAAAGTGGAAGTACTACAGTGGTTTGTGAAGGCCAGCATAATTACGGTTAAAGTGATCATCATAATTATTTTTACTCATGATTTCATTCACCACGATTATCCATCTATGTCTGGGAACAAAATTGGTGTACTTTACAGCCCTACTGCGAAGTCATCAAAAGATCTTCATTTTTAAAATTCATGACCTAAAAAATGTTGTTGTGTTGACTTTGTTTTCTACCTTTCTCAACCGTGGTCAGCATGTGTGATGAGGTTCGACGGGGGGAACAAAGAACAAGATGGATGGTAACCCCCTTAACCACACACTCACAGTTACTATGGGTTGACCTCAGTTGACCCCTTGGCCCCTCAACAGCCTCACATCCCATTGACTGGGGTTAAATAGGGTTTGGCCCATGGGGTTTTATGACAGAGAAAGAGAGAAAAAGTTGCTTCACTGTAACCTTTTAGCAGTAAACACTGCAGCGATTCTAAAATGTTCTACAGTTTGAAAGAAACAAACAATACGCCTGTGTTTTGTTTGCGTAAATATGAAGCAAGTCAAAAGACCCAGTTGTAGCAAATGCTTGATTCCTGTTATTGTTTGAGCCTTTTTCCAAACAGTCCAGCATTCATCGTTTTCCTTTCCCTTCACAACTGTGTTGACAAAAATGATTATCTGTTTTCAGTTTTCGACGACAGATAACGGCCCCCAGCAGGAGACAGAAAGGCAAAAAATCACAGCCAGTACTTCAGTGGCCTCATACAGTAGCACTACCTCAGGTCCTAAACACATCTACCTAAAGGCACCATGATTTAAATGTAGGGCAACAACTACCAATTGTTTTCGCTGTCTATTTATTTCTGATTAATAATTTGGTCAGTAAAGTGTCAGAAAATAGTGCAAAGACATCCTAAAGACCAAGGTGAATACTTCAAACTGCTCCAATTGTACGTCCAAGACTCAACCCCCGCCAAAATATTCTCATAGCTCATAAAAATGATGTCACATGATATCATCAAAAAGTTGCATTTTTGTTTTCTTCACTTATAAATGAAGCAGCTCGTCGTTTAAGCTCCACGTTTAAGATACCGTCCAGTGTTTGTGGTGCAGTGTGGTCTGTACTTGCACAAGAAAGAAGCATGACATACATTTCTGCTAATGGATGGTTTGCTGCTAGCTGTCTGATGAGGAACAGTTACATAACAAGCTGAGAGCTCGCCACATGATTAAAACCTGAGCAAATACATAAAAGAGCTGTAAGATTGTTTGTTAGGTTCTATCATTTTCTGGTTCATGAACTAAACAACACCGTATTGATAACTTGTAAAAGAAAGAGCATTAATTAGCTAGCTTGCTACGTCTGTTAGCCTGGGGGCTCTTAAGTGTTGCACAGCTCCATACCTCTAATTAGCCGTTCAGGCGGCTGTATAATAGAAGATGATAACAGGGGAAGAGACTGCATTAAATTACCCACCAACATACTGTAGTTTGTTTCCATTTCTGCAGTGGGCTCAAAGCCATGATGAAATTTGAACCGGCCATTACTCTAGTTGTCGACAAACGATGCAAATGCAAGACACAGAGAAGCATGAACTGAAAATAAAATTAAATAATCTGCTACCACCATAAACATTCCTTTGGAAATCAACAGTTGGCTCCTCCGGTTTTACTCGCCACAGTGACTGTGGGTCACTGATGCAACCAGATTTTCTCCACCATCGCTGATCCAACCACATGACAGACGTTAGATCTGAAACCTGGCACTCCTGTCACCCTGCACCCTGGCAGCACCTGTCAATCAAAGCGCTCCTCTCATTCTCCAGGAAGACTCCAGCTGGTCAAGAATGCGAGGACTGAAGGATTTCTTTGTCCCTGAGGTATTCTGAGGCTGTCCCCTTTTTCTCATTTCATTCACAGGTCAGCATTTCTGCAAAAGCATGTTGCAGAGACCCTGATGGGCCAACAAAATTGCATCTGGGGACTCACCCAGCGTCCGTTCATTTTCTATTGAAAAGAAACTAACCTCAGGTCCATGTAAAGCAAAGGAAGATCCCAGAATGACAGCAGAGTTCCCTCCCCACCCACCTAAGGAGCAAAGTTATCAATGAGCCACTGAAAAGTCCTGAGATAAACTCTCAGAACAGGAAAACGCTGCACTAAAGCTGAGATTTCAGCAAATTAACTCATGCCAATGACATAGTATTTGCATAATCGTGCCTAAGCCGGGGTATTGGTAAACCTGCTCCAAGCAGCGGAAATCTGGAATCAGCTGGTCTTTTAGTTTCCCCTTCTTGCTTAATTAACCACCATTAGAGCCACTCAATCATAGTATTTATGACAAAACCAACAACCACTGACACATGCGTGGCAATTACAGAAACGTACCCTTGTTAACAGCCCTCACTACACCATGATCTTTAGCAGCTCATTAGGCAGCAACATGGACGCAATCATACACTGAGGGCATGTTACATACATCTGCTCTTTAGCACCTTTTCCCCACAGTGTTAGTCTGCTCGTTTCCAGCCATTAGACCCATTAGAGGCCAATTAACACCGACACAAAGCTCCCTTCCTGTTTTATGGCACTGTAAACAAAACCTGCAGGCTCGCCTTTGGGTTCAGCAGAGCTCAATAGCCTATAATGCAACACAGGATAACTCATTAGTTTAATGATATGTTGCCTTTTCATAGCAGATATAAAAGCCTACAGATTCTGTCACACCGGATTGCACATAAACTTTTGCCAGTCACTGATATGAGCACTTGAATTGACTTCCTTTCTGTACATGAAGCACATAATCATATAAAACTGCTCTGAAGTCGGCATTTGCTTTCTTCTCTCAGCTGTAAATCTGCAGCAAAGGACAGCACTTGGTCCAGACAATAGTTCCCATCTAGTAATACATTAACCACACTATTCCATTTATCTCAACTGCATCAGTGGGGATATGTGTTGCAGATAGACGCTGTACTGATAAAACCAACCCTTAATCCCTACACCCAATATGGCTTTAGTAAAAAAAAAAAGAAAAAAAAAGAACCTGTTGTTCGAAGTGCCTTATGTGGGTCATGCTCCACAAACTGTGTCAGAATTGGCCAGAACACAAGCACAATACGGGTCTTTTTCCGCGTGTTTAAGTTGTATCCCACTCGGTTTATGAAGCAAACATTTGAAGTCTGCATGCTGCAGCACGCCACAGGCACGGGTCGTCCAGAGAGGAGAGGTTGATGCGACACAAATCACCTCTCATAGTTGTTTTTGGGAGTCGTCCCAACAGTTTAAAGCACGCGTAATGAGTCATCCTAGTTAGATATCATCCCCCCTTGCCTGCAGATTGTGTACTTCTCAAGCGTAAAATGGAGTGAAGCCTTGAAAGCGCAGACAACAACAACACACACACACAGAATAAAACAAGTGCTGGTCATCTGAACACACTTGGAAAACAATGTTACACTACTTTGGGCTTCTAGGCACAAACACAACACAACAACTCCCAACCTGAAAAGTCTGAAGAGCCCTTGGTGAGGTCGCAGAGGACGGTCAGACACGTTATTCCCAACAGGAGCGCATAAGTGACGGCTGAGAGAGTCCTATCTGAGAAGAACATCCTTGAAGCCTCAAAGTTTTTGAGTTTCTCCGTAGCATCAGAAAGTCCAGCAGCAGCATTGGGGGTTCAAGTTCTGCGTCGCATGCAGGAGATGTACGGTCCCATGTCTCTAGTCTTCCCTCATCCTCCCACCGCACCGCTGCTGTGAGAACGGGATCGAGGCTCCTCTGGTGCTCTGCTCTCTGAGTGCATTTCTAACTGCGTGTTGTGTTGTGGAGGCAGCCCACCTGGAGGACCGCCGCTCCCCTGCATGGTCTCAAAGACCCAGAGTTCCCTACCAGACACACGCAATAATCCAATAACATCACACTCTGTCGACCCATGGGCTGCTTTTGATACTTTATGTACATTTTGTTTTCAATATTTTTAAGTCAAATTATGGATGCAGGTTTTTTTTATTTGTAATGGAGTTTACAGTGTACAGCAACATTTACTGAAGCAGGGGATCCTAATACTTATTTTTTAATGGAGTAAAGGTCTCCAGAAATCCATAAATGCAAACAAAACAACAGCAAAGAAGCTTAAATTCGGCTCTTTCTGTGTTGTTGATAACATGTAGTCTACATTATAAATGCAATACAAAAACACAATATCTCTGAATGATATACTGTAGGTATTTGAGTATGTATTTAGCTACAGATAAAAATATGGGAGATGACTCTCATTAACACTGACACACAAAATGAGACATAGCCTACAACAGAAGCACTTTCAATAGATTAGATTAGATTAGATGTTTTTTATTGTCCCCGTAGAGAAATTCATTTTTCTCAGGTCAGTACCATACCAACAGACAAACAACAATAAATACATTTTAAATTAAAATAAATGAAATTAAAAAGCACTTCTAAAATACAATATCATCATCATCATCATCATCACCATCATTATTAGATTCCATCAACATAAACTCAATGAGCTATCTAAAAGCAGTATCTCTGTTGATCATCAAAGTCAAAGTCAAAAAAGTCAAAGTCCAATATACAATACTTATGGTGTGCAACAATACTTATGGTAGTGCAAAAAAGGCAGTTGGTAATGGCAGCAAAAAAATTATTTAAAATTCTGTAAGATATATTTGAACATTAACAGTGCAAAAGAACATTCAGTGAAAACAGTAATAGTAAATAGTAAAGAGGCAGGTGCGCAATGGCTGCCATCTCAATAAGTCGAGCCTTTTAATCGAATTAAATTTAATTAGATTTTTATTATAGTATTTAGTTGTCACTTCCTATTTTTTTTCTAGTTTACAGCACAGTCGTGGAGGACACAGTGAATATAATAACCGACGGAACAGTAGCGCCATCTTGTGGACAATAGACCACATTGCAGATTCGGACACCACGCGTTTCAATGTCATTTCCCCCACACGGCTTCCGTACAAGTTCGCGTGTGACTACAGAAGGTCAGTCATGGCAGCCTGTGCGAAGGAGTTCGGCAAATGTGTGTTTTCCCTGAGGTTACTGCGAAACCTCCAGCTCCAAAATGAACGTAAGTAAACCGAACAAGCGCTCCTTTCTCCGGTGTACCTTATAACCCGCTGCCCAGCTGGTGAACACACGCGTTTGCGTTTGTAACGTTACAACCAGTAGCAGTGAGCTAACGGAGATAACGGAAGTTAACGTAGCTAGCAGCTTTTCCAACCTAATATCACCCTGACTTTAACCTTAACTGTACAAATATGTATGTCTGAATTATTTGTCGTTTCCAGGGTGCCTGTCCACGTCTGTGTGTCGTCTTGCCGAGGGGACCAACAGAGAGCAGCCACCAAAATTCACCCCTCCATCTAAACCTGTCATTGTGGACAAAACAGCGACTGTGGAGTCCCAGCGAGAGTACGTTTCTCTTCTTCACACTCCCTCACAGACACATACATGCTGTAATGTTATCACCCTGTGTAATGTTTGGCTTTCATGTGTTGTCTCTCTCTGTCAGGTTTCTGAGCCCAGAGTTCATCCCTCCCAGACAGAGGACGAATCCCTTTAAGTTTTACATTGAGAGGAAAGACATGATTCGCAGGAGGAAAGTGCTCAACATCCCTGAATTCTACGTAGGTAAGAAACCACAAACTCACTGTGAGGTGAGACAGTTTAGGATTGTCGTGCTCAAACGTAGAGACCCTTTTTAAAGTTCATCCAGGTTAAATTAAGTGCAACAAGCTTTATCCGTTTCTTTTTCTGACAGTATAACTAGTTGTGCCAGCTCTCAGCTTCAAGAGGAGAGGTTGATTTACCCTGATCCAAGCTACTATAAACTGGTTGCTTGTCAAATTGTAGAAAAGATTTTAAGATTTTACTTTCATTGTCCTCTGTGATTAGTTAATTCTCCGTGATCCAGCCTGCAGCCTGAGCTCCTCTGACGGGGTATTTTTCCTTTAGCAGTTCCTACATCTCACCTAGTCAAAAACAGTGACTGGATCCTTTGCTGTCTCGGCCCCTTTTAGGCCTTTTCTATCGACCAAGGTTCAAGCACCTAGTTTTGCATTCTGACTAAAAATAAATTTGTTTAGAACCTTAAAAGTTGGTTCCCAGCTGGAACCAAAAATTAGCAGGTTTTCCTTAGGAACCAACGCCCCAGTTTTTATCTCAAAGCATTCTGTTGTTTATATTAACAGTTGATTTAAGTCATATTATTGTTTTAGTTTTTTTTTTTGCAGAGAGCTTTGCAAATATAAATTGCGTCTTTAAAAATATCACGCATCAAGTTTGTCGTTTTTATTCTAAGTTAAATCATGTGAATGATTTTGATTGTTTTTAAGGGAGCATCCTGGCAGTGACCATGGCCGACACGAATGCCAGTGGGAAAACTAACCGCTTTGTTGGCATCTGTATCCAGAGGGGTGGGAAGGGGCTGGGAGCCACATTTGTACTGAGGAACATCATTAATAACCAAGGTGAGGTTTATTTTCTTTTCTGTGTCAGTGCTGGTTTAAAAACAGGTCTATTGAACGTCACACAGGCTGTGGCATCAAGGAATATTAAGTCAGGTAAAATTTTATTTATACAGCCCAAGATCAGAAATCACAATTTGCTTCAGGGAGCTTTACAGTCTGTACAACATTCAACACCCTCTATTGTTTTTTCAACCTGGACCTTATTATCCCACGTTTTGTGTCACAGTGACTAATGGGGATATCAAGTTTTTAGGTCCGCTGCGTGTCCAACCAAGTCTCGCTCAAAGAGAAGTCTCGTTCAGGGAGGCAAGAGGACGATGCAAACATGTGCGTAGTAAGCATATCTTAGTGTTCGGTGAAATACTTTCAGTGTATTCGGAGTATACAGATGAAGAGCTCCTACAAGAGCGCACCAGGAGACAGAGAGGGACAGCAGGCAGAGGAGGATGAACCAGCTGCTGCAAGGCTGCGAAGCACGGGAGACTGGTGGAGTTTCTGAGATTTTACAGACCAGCTCAAGCAAAATGTACAGAAAACACAGACAATTGAATTTCTCTACAGGGTTGTATTGTCAGTCCTTTATAATAACAATCTGAGCCTGTCAGTAGCAAAAATAAGCACTTTTATTACCTGCAAGGATTACATTGTAGTCCATATTGCGGCTGCAAAACTCCCCATTTTGACACAATATAATGATTAAAAGGTCCATGTTGAAAAACACCATGTCCTTATATATTAATGTAACTGTTAAAATGATTTTTCTTTGGCCATTTCTAATTTGGTTGAGGAATTAGGAAAGACTTGCTCCTTTACTCTCCCCATCCAGAGATTATTTGCAGACCGTGAACCAGGTGGTTCCATCATGTATTTCTCGGTGTGTGTGCCTCAGGTGTGGAGATCTGCTACGAGCTGTACAGCCCTCGTATCCAGGGTATTGAGATACTGAAGCTGGAGAAGAGGCTGGATGATAACCTGATGTACCTGAGAGACGCTTTGCCTGAGTACAGCACTGTGGACCCGGACATGAAGCCTGTGGCCTTCGCCGCCACTGGAGAGGTGCCTGTCAACAAGGTGAGAGAGCTATTTATAACAAGGAGGTGGATTACATGGGGCTTTTCCAAACTCACCTGTTTTACTTACTAGGCATGAGACAATATGAACATTTCATGCCACAATTGTTCTGGCCAAAATAATTGTAATTCACAATATTT